CACTATCAGTAAAGACGAAAAATTTAATAAAAAGAAATCCACAAATACAATGTCTTAATTATTAATATGACTGTTTAGTTAAAAAAAGATTACAGATTGATATCATGATCTATTTAAAAAAACAAAATGCTATTGAACAAAACACATTTGGAAACATTTTTATAGTTTCTGCTACTTAAACGATTAAATGATGACAGTCGTCTTCTGCTATTTTATGCACTTTTAGTGTTATTGAATTAAAATATTATTTTAGCGAGAATCCATGGATGACGGCAGTCAATTTAAAGTCCATTCAACTTTGATAGAAACAAACAATCCAGAAAATAAAAGTAACACTGGTGTAGTTGTGATTGCCGTTTTTGATACCAATTTTATTAATAGCAGCCGGGGCTGCTACACTAATTATACTTAGGAGAAGAAATAGTGGAAGTTTTAATATTAGGTAAGTCAAACTAATTTAGATTAAAAACAAAAACAATAAAGATGGTCAAAAAAATTATTTATTTAGTTTTTCCAACCATTACTACGTACTGTTGGGAATATTTAAAATTAATAAGGATAAATTTTAAATTATTATTTAATTTTTGACTTGTTTAGCAGTTTAGTAACTGCAATAATAGGCATACTATTAAAACAGTCTCGTCAGTCAACAGTGGTTGAGAGATTTTAATAAAAAGTTTATTAACATGCAGGAATGGAGCTACGCATGTGAAAACCTGTAAATTATATTAAGTATCTGTAAAATGTATCCCAAGAAAGCATATGGCATAAATTTAACATTTAACATTACTTTAATCAGTTCTGAAACTGAATATTAAGGATTTATTAGGAGTAAATTCAATAAATATAATATGTCCACGAATGGACTTAATATACTTGTAAATATTTTTATTTGTGATGTTTTGACAAAAGTATTCTTCATAAAAACTTCTGCTTATTCTGAAAACTCATTAGCTATGTCAGAATTATGATTTAATATACAGTGTGTCCCGAAATGAAGAAAATATAACATTTTGTCAAGAGTAAAGTACCTTTATTTTAATGAATAGAGAAAAATTTTGTACGAAAAAGTTGTATATAATGCCAGGTGCAGTCCTAATACGAAGTTTTATCCATATAATCAATAATTGGCTATATTATAAAAAATGTTAAAAAGTGAAATAAAATAATTATTATTCTGAAGCTGCAATAAATGAATTAATGAAATATTAGTTGATGCGATTTTAATTACTTACAGCCAATCTAATTCAATAGCAATTATTTAATGTAGATTTTGCATAAGAAAAAATTGTATAAAAAAGTCATTGATTATTATGATTATATAGATGAAACCTCATAATAGTACTGCACTTGGCATTACATACAACTTTTTTCTCACAAAATTTTTTTCTATTCATTAAAATAAAGGTACTTTACTCTTGGTAAAATTTTTTATTTTCTTCATTTTTGGACACATTGTATATTAAATCGTAGTTCTGAACATGGCTGACAAGTTTTTAGAATAAGCAGAAGTTTTTTTATGAAGAATAACTTTTTGCCATAAAATCAAAAATAAAAAAATTTACAAGTGTATAGTTGTCCATCCATGGATACACTGTATAATGTTCAAAGTTATGAACAAAATATAACTACAAAAAAATCAAAATTTTCGAAAACCAAAAAAACGGGGTGATAAATTTTCCTTCTGGTTATGAAAAAAAATAGTTTGCAAAGATTTTACTAATGGCCTAGAAGGAAACTGGGGAGGCTGCGCATTTCTGTAACTTTTTTTCTCAAATTTTTTCCATTTTTTTTTCTGCAAAACTTCTTCAATCAGTACTGATAGTCGTGCCGTAAAATATTGCTTGGGTTCCACGCTCCAATATTGAGATATTGTATAACCCAAATCCACCAGCCGCCACTGCTCATGTTACATCATTGGAGTTGAGGGGTTTTCTAACATTCATTTTTCAATAATGGAGAATAACAAATTAGACAAACGTATGTAACATATGTTAAATAATAGTTATTGTTTAAAATTTTTACTAAATCACACTGGTTTTGTCAACTTTCACACTGCAAAATCATGCAATAATAAGTTAGGATGACATAATATATGAAATATTAGATGTGAATTAATTTTCGAGCGAAAATATATGACTTTGAAAAAGTGATCCTTTAAATGTTTTGTTTGGGTAGTGTATTTAAATTTACATAATTTACTTTATTTAGTATGAGATTCTACAATCCAGCCTATGAAAACCAAACAGATGATGATAAACCAATTTTGCAACCTGGCCAACATGAGTATGTAAATCCCGTTCATTTTAGCAAAGGCAATTCTGACATACCGTCAAGTGTCATATCAAATAAATTAAATGAGCTAGATGATGTTTGATAAATGTTTGGTTTATTTTATACATTGTTGTTTTATTGTATTTTTAACAGTATTTTAGTGATAATCATCAGATTTATATATAGTATTAATTGATTTAATGCGAGGTGTATGTATAATTTTTAATTACATAAGATAGAAGAAATCTTCTATTATAGTCTCAGGCATCAAAAAGTCTTAATTATAATTTGATCAGTTTACAGTTTGAGTCAACGTAATATTTACATTCATTACTTAATAAGAAAAGAAGTGTAATGTAAAATAGATGTTATCTATTAATTATTTTGTATTATATTTTCTGCACCTTGTATTTGTCTTTCTATAAATTTTATATTATGTATTTATAATCAATAAATAAATATTTTTATATTTTCTAATGTATATATATTTTTGTCAATAAAATATGTTTTACATATATTTTGGCATCTTGAATACAATAATATAATTTATAAGTATATATAATTTGAGTGGCTCAAAATAATTTGATCCATTCTGTGAGAGTTCTAAATGAATAAAATGTACTAATGCAGTTTTTATCAGGAACACATAGCAATCGTGTTGCATCAAAACCTTGCCCAATGCGGCAGGATCTTAATTCTATTTGATACCACCATATGACCTTTATGCATTCATAGTAACGATTACAATATGCTGAAGGGTATCTGCCATTATTTGTGCATATAGGTGGAATTGCTGAAAAGAACAACCAAATTTGTAACAGTCTACTTACGATTTTGTAAGATAACAAAATACACATATGTGATGTGTACTTCTTATTACCTGTTCGAATACTAGTTGTAGCTGTTGTAGGAATTGCTTTTTCTGAGCTGGTTAATGGAGTGGCTAAAATTAAAAAAAATATATATTTAGGACTTTCATTTTGTAAGGCATGTTTTTGGAAAATTACAAAAGCCTATGGCCTATTTTTTGAAAATATTTACAAGATTAATACCCATTTTCTGAATTTCTATAGAATTAAGGCCTATTTTTTAAATATATACAAAATTATTTGGTAGCCTGAATACTAAATTGAATGTTAAATCATCTTTTTGATTTTCAGTGTCAAATTAATCAAATTCTATTAATGTTAGTTTATTAGTTATTGAGAAATCAATTATTTTTTGTTTTGATTTTAAATAATCATTTTCTAGGTTTGATAGCTAGTATGAGTCTGAAATTTCACGGTGTTCATAATAATCACAATATATATATATATATATATATATATATATATATATATATATATATATATATATATATATATATATATATATATATATATATATATATATATAAATATATATATATATAATATATATATATATACATATATATATATATATATATATATATATATATATATATATATATATATATATATATATACATATATATATATATATACATATATATATATATATATATATATATATATATATATATATATACATATATATATATATATATATATATACATATATATATATATATATATATATATATATATATATATACATATATATATATATATATATATATATATATATATATATATATATATATATATATATATATATATATATATATATATATATATATATATATATATATATATATATATATGTATATATATATATATATATGTATATATATATATATATATATATATATATATATATGTATATATATATATATGTATATATATATATATATATATATATATATATATATATATATATATATATATATATATATATATATATATATATATATATATATATATATATATATATATATATATATATATATATATATATATATATATATATATATATATATATATATATATACATATATATATATATATATATATATATATATATATATATATATATATATACATATATATATACATATATATATATATATATATATATATATATATATACATACATATATATATATATATATATATATATGTATATATATATATTTTTTTTTTTTTTCTGAATTATTATCTTATTAGAGTTTATTACATTCTCTTATGATAAAATCGACGGCTTTGAAACCGTTCGATATGGTAACCATCAGCATCTAAATAAACATTTCGAGTTGTAATTTGGTCATGCCAACATTGTGACTGCTGTCACGACTTTGGTGCGACCCAATTACAACTAAAAATATTTATTGGGAGATGAATTTTTTCACAAATCTAAATGAATTGACCCAGTTATTCTCACATTTGTAACTGGTTTAGGCAACATAAGAATTTTCTAATTCAAACACAAATTAGAATAATTGAGTCCTATTTAGAGCTATGAAAAGAATAGAAATATGAGATTCTATTGAACTGAATCAATGACCTGAAAAATATGAATAAATTATTGATTGATGAATTTAAAGATTTGCCTCAAATTGCAACCAAGTGACAGTTAGGTAAGTTAGTTATGTTTAAAAGTGTCAAAACCTTTCGAATAGTTTAATAAAATGCGTGATTTAATGTGCTTCTTTGCATCGACTCAAACAATTTATATAGCCTTAAAATAAAGATAAGTTTTTCATATTCTCTTATTTGAAAAAATAAATGCCGGCCCATTGGTCATTAATTATGGGATTGGGCTCTCCATTTGTGGCTTCATGGTAAGGACACTTGCCTCTCACGCTAGAGTCCCGGGTTCAATCTCCGGTTGAGAAGACAAGTTTTTTTTCTAAATCAGAAATTAATCCTGGCATACTCGGACATTGGGTCTATTGTCGTTAAATGTATAGCTATCTACCGCACAAGTTACCTTGAAGTACATTCAGGGACACAGAGGTTGTGGAGTTTAATTTGCAGCCTGCCTAGTCTAGTATTCACACAAAAATATAATATAACCTCTACTCTTGTGGCACTGATGTAACACCAGGTTACTGTAACCAAATTTTGTATTCTGTGACCTAAATTTCTGTTCCATGTTTGTAACAGGTTTTTCCTCTGTGCCCTCAAGCAGCAAGTAAAGTGGTAAAAAGAACACATGCACATTTTTATTTTCAATAAAGTACTTGATGAAGTAAAAATAACAACAAACAGATGCTTTTATTCTCCAAAGGTATTAAATTAATTTCTATTTTATGTGGAGGTCCGATATACCAAACCGAGCACTAAACAAATTAACATTTTTTCGTCAACATTTGTTTGTATTAAAATGTAAACTGAAGCGTTAAGGAACTATATCAGACCGTAGATAAAATATTTAAATTTTATTTATCTATGCATCAGACTGACTATTCTCGAGACAAGGCATACTAGTTGGCGTACTTGAATTTGGCAACTGTACTGATCACAAAACATGAGGTGGGTGGTGACGCACAATATTTTACATTACAAATTAATGTATAGGATAACTGAGGTGATTAATCAATCTGGTTGTCATGCATGCCTAATATGCAATAAATATTTAAATAATAGCATTCTGACGAACCCTTTGCATGCACATAAATATGTGGAACTGATAAAGCTGAGAGCACTAGGCAGATTCTTTGGGCAGCATTTAGTCCTGATAATGGTGCGATCGAAATGATCTGTACCATATTTTCATATTTGCATGCTACATAGGGAAGCAGCTTCGTTCAAACTCGTACATTCTGGAGCAGAGGAATAATGAATTGCTTCTGATCTGTGGACTGCATGGTTGGCTGGCCACTGCGCTGTGGCAAATTCACGGTCACATTTTGTATCTAAGGGACTGCATGAGCTTAACTGAACACTTCCCTACGTAGTGTTTTAAAATGAAAGCACGGTATACCATTGTATGCAAAGTAACTTTGGTAAAACAACGTATATACAGTTGCCACAACATAAAGGTTTCCAGATCATTTGTGACTTGAAAGAGAACATGTATTCCCTTTCTCTCTTTTGTAAGGAATAAAATCTAAAGATTGGCAATAAATGACTTCCCTTCGCATAATTCGTGCATCTATTCAAGAAAACATAATATGCTTGGTTGCTGTACTATGACTGCTGTATTATATGTATGTATAGTCCAGCATCCAAGCTGCGAATAAAATAAAATTATTATTTGATACTGACAAGACAATTAGATTTGATTGTTATCTGACCTACTAAATCTACATTTTATTTAAATGTTTTGGTAAAATGCTGTATTAGATCAAAGCATTTCAAAAAAATTCTTCAGAATACCTAATTTATAATCGCCGCTAGTTAAACAACCAATGAAATAATTTGCGCTATTCTATTTTCCAACCGGCGTTGTCATTTTGAGTTGCAGTGTTGCCGATTTGCTAGTAATTACTGGCATTTGCCAGGAATGAATAGTCCTACCAGTAATCTTGCCAGGAATGACTTAAAGCCAGGAATAACATTCTCAGTGATGACGAATTGCTAACAACTCCCAATACTTGCTTTTTTTATTAACAGATCACGAATCACAAAGATAACAAATCGGTTTGAAGAATTTCGATTCACGATAGGTAGTGTCGCTAGAGAATGATGTATCACGCCACGCTTCTTTACTATTATACTTTTGACATATCTGTACTAGCCATCTTTGTCTTATGATGCAAAGTGACGTACAATGATAGTATACATTGATGATCTAAAACTAAAAACCTTTAGGGCAAAGGTAATACACATCAAAATAATAAACCTAACCAGTAAACTGCCAGAAATTGCGAGGAATGCGATATTAGAATTTTTGCCAGGAATGCAATCGTTTCGCTAGCAATTTCGTATTGAACTGTTGGTAACATTGTTGATTTGTCATGTCTGTGCTTTTGTCATCGTTTTAGGTTAAGGACGTACAATAGAAATATTTGTGATGCGATGTTGAACTATTACACGAATTTGTACATTTATTTTTGTGTTGTCAAACTTTTTCAAGACTTAAGGGTAATTATTTAGAATACGATAAGATGCTTAAATTTTCCTGAAAATTTTTCTACCCCCCAAAATAAGGTGCGCTGAACACGAATATGAAGTTTTTTTTTCGCCGGAGACAAGCCGTTATGGAGAAAAAAAATTTTTTCACTGTCACTTTTTTACACTGGATATATCTAACGATTTGTATTATTTCCCTCACCCCAATAACACTGAACGGTTTGGAGTATAGTATACGTCATTTTTTATAATAAGAACAATTTTTTTCCTTATAAAAAGCTTTGTATTTGGGATAACGCCATTACATCATAAAAATGCAACTAAAATGTATGTGAAATTAGCGACGCGTAGATCAGATAGTGTCTAAAGTGCCCCTGTGAGGTACCACAAACCAATTATACCGATACACTCTACACATCATCAAATGTTCATTGCACATTGTCATATTCTGTGCAAACATTCCTACTACCCTTAAATAAGTTAATAAGATTGCATTCTTCAATAACATTAAGAATTATTCCTTGCCCTGAAAATTTTGGGTGGAAAAGGGTGATTTAAATAGGGTGCTTTTTACATACGATTATGGTTACAATAAAAGGGGTTGGTTTAGCGAATAATTTTAATATGACGAAAGGATGGTTTCATTATAAGGGGTTATTGTAACCATAATCCAATGTAAAAGGCACCCTATTTAAAACTTACCCTTTTCCACCCAAAATTTATAGGGCAAGGAATAATTCTTAATGTTATTGAAGAATGCAATCTTATTAATTTATTTAAGGGTAGTTAGGGATGTTCGTACAAGATATGACAATGTGCAATGAGCATATGATGTGTAGATTTGTGCAATAATACAATCTAACCTAACCTAATACCTGTTCCTCTCCTTTCCTGGCAAAGATAATTGCTTATACCTTCTCGTTGGTCCTTGCTGAACAATAACATATTTAAAGATATAATCCATTTCTTTAATTACTTTATCGACTACATGAGCAACTTACCCTAAAAATGATCCGATCTGGTTCTAAACTGAACGCTAGTTATACAATGTAGTATCTTTAGACACAACAGAATAGAATCGCACCTAACTTCGTGACTATGAATGATTTTACAGCATTTTTCATGCATTTTCGTATTTAAAACATGGTTTTTAATGTGTAAAACATTATATTTCTGTACAAGATAAAAGTAACATCGTCTTCTAAGCGTTAAAATAGTACAATTAGTAACAGGAAGTGTTAAATATATCACAATAAAAAGTGACAGATGTGAGTGAAAACGCAATTTTTTTTTATTTTTTTTCTCATGAACGGCTTGTCTCCGGTGAAAAAAAACTTCATATTCGTGTTCAGCGCACCTTATTTTGGGGGGTAGAAAAATTTTCAGGAAAATTTAAGCATCTTATCGTATTCTAAATAATTACCCTTGAACCCTGTTGGCAGTGTTTATTCTGTGGGAAGTTGCGGCTAGGGCTAGGGCACAGAAGAGACAAAAGAGGCTAAAGTACTAATGAGTATTGAGTAATGACTTTTTATGGCGTTTGTTATTGGTTTCTGACAGATGTAATTCAAAAATGCCTCATGTTTTTTAAATACACGTTAACGATTTTAATGAAATATAAAATATCCTGAAACTACAGACACAGCATAAAGAATGCTGTGCTACAGATACGCTAATTATTAAAAATACAGAATCAGTAAAACCGGCAACACGACAGTATCGTCCTCGGTTATTTTGGCCAGTTGGATGACGTCAGAAGACTAAAATCGTGCTAAAATTCAAAGCTTTATTTTTTAATCCTTTATGAAATTCAAAAATAATTCGAAAAAAATTTAGTGAACTTAGATTTTTAAATATGTATTATCGAACAAGCAAATAAAACAAATGTGGCATAATGCCCATTCTCGAATATTTACCTGTTAATTCAGTTGATGTCAGTTGTACTGGGCTGTAAGTGGTTGTATGCTCCAAAGTTTTATTTATGCACCTAGAAAATTTATTTGATAATTTTCATAAATTTTTAATAAAAAAAAAAGAATGTGACTAAAACTAAAAAATAAATACCTATATATATGGTGTCGGCTTTAACTTTCTCAACATAGCGATCTCGCTTATCTTGCGAGTTACAATATCGGGTAAATTTGAAAAAAAGTTGCATGATATTCATGCTAAAACCTTGGAGACAACAGAACTTAATAATCAGATTTTTTTTATATGGAAAAAAAGTGAAAAATTCGTATTTGGTTTTTCTCCCATATGTTGCTTATTTGACATCCAATCTTTATTCTGTAAAGACATTCTTAGAGTAACTTGTGTTTATATGATTTTTATAAAATAAAAGTATTATTTTCGTTCACTCTAAATAAACAACTTAATTTTTGCTTGTGGCAGCCATATTGAATTTTCTTATCACAAAATAGCATTTTTTTCTGATTACAATGATATATCGTAATCCTATATTAAAATTTTATTTAAGCCCCTAATTATTCAAATAAACAACATATAGGAGAAAAACAAAGTACGAATTTTTCAATTTTTTCCAGATATTTGAAAAACAAAATCAGATAATTAAGTTCTGATGGTCTTAGGGTCTTGATAAGAAACTCCCGCATCTTTTCTCTAGTTTAACCAATGTTGTAACTCACAAGATAAGTGAGATCTCTATGTTGGGAAAGTTAAGCCGACGCCCTATATATAGAGGGTGGGGTAATAGTGCGTCCGACTTCGATATCTCGAGTTCTATGATAGCTAGAAACTTGATTTATAAACATAAGTAAACTAGACAAAAAAGTCTATAACCGCAAATTGTTTTCGAATAT